TAGGTTTTATGATCACCAGCGCGGGAATACCCTGAACCTCATATTTTTTGGACAGCTTCCTGCAAAAGCAAACGACCGCACATCACCTGGGAATTTTTAATCGGCATTACTCGATTTCCTGGGCGCCGAATGGAATGTAGCACCAAGCGCCGTGAGATTCTTTCAGATATTCTTGTTCATCCTCTGCGCTGCGATCGAACGTGACGAAAACGATCTCGAAATCATCCCGGTTCACTTCTTCGTAAAAGTCCTAAAAGTGGAACGAGTAAGTTCGTTCTGTGTTCCTCAGAAGGCACGGCGAAGGCACCAGATCACGTACCTTCAGTATCGGCGTAAACTGTCGACACGGGGGACACCAGTGTGCTGAAAAATACAATCCGACCACCTTTCCGGCCAGATGCTTGCCCGCGTCTATCGGCTCCGACTTCGAACCGTCGAACTTCATCACTTTAGCGTCCTTCAACAATTCGGCCATGCTGCTTGTGTGTGTACTTTTACAAATCTTAAACAAAAGGGTCAGGTTTATGGTACTCCTGAAGGAGCTGTCCTGCATATAACAGTCGCGCGGCACAGTAAGCGTTTCAAACGAAGAGGCAATTTACCTGCTGATTGACTTAGCGTGCCGTAGCTCCCATTTGGACACGTGCCCACTGAGACGTGACCGTACGACGTTCATGTGATAGTCACGAGGCGGAGTATGATACCTCTGAATTTGCGAGTAAACGAAATCGGATTTCTTTGGAAAAGCTAGCCATTATTTTGTGGTCGTTAAATTCCATACCTTGACTTCTCAGAAAGATCGTCGTTTCATGCCCATGATTTAAGAACCGACTTCTACGCAACATCGGTAGAAATAATTGCTGCAATTTACAACGGCAGTTATTACGGCCAGTTTTATATTGTGGAAAAAAAGGCTTCAGTCGTCTCAAGCGTATTACTTTTACTCAAATGGATCATCAACCACCTTTTTTCCTCTCCACGCTATCGCGTTTCCTCGAATTGTTTTTGTCAGCCTCATCATTAATTTCCGTCGACTATACCGTGAAATTTCTCGTCTCGCCATTCGTCATCTACCTCACGATCGTAATGGTAACGAGGACGAAAGTCAGAAAAATGCCTCAAAAATCTAACAGCTAGCCGAGGATCTTTATAGGAGATATTTCTCGAATTCATCGCCATCAACTTTCGCCGCATTCAACTGTTTAAGCAGTAACTTGGGTGCGACGACGTTTGGTCGGTCGGCACGCAATATATCGTATTCGCTAGTCTAAACGATAATTATCATCTTCATAATAATTATCATCAGGTTCGTCATCATAATCACCTTATCATCGCCCACATTCTAATCAACATTAGCATAATC